TATTTGAGAGAGGGAGCACAGGGGGGCAGGACAGAGGGAGAGGCAGACTCCCCACTGAACAGGGAGCCAGACTCGGGGCTCAGTCCCAGGACCCCGAGATCATGACCTGAGCCGAAGTCAGACACTTAACCACCTGAGCCACCTAGGCATGCCTTCATCCCTTAACTTTCAATCTGCACTGGCGTTGGGTCTGAAATGAGTCTTGTAGGCAGTATTTAGATAGGTCTTTTTTTTTTTTTTTAAGATTTTATTTATTTATTTGACAGAGAGATCACAAGCAGGCAGAGAGAGAGGAGGAAGCAGGCTCCCCACTGAGCAGAGAGCCTGACGCGGGGCTCGATCCCAGGACTCTGAGATCATGACCTGAGCCGAAGGCAGCGGCCTAACCCACTGAGCCACCCAGGCGCCCCAGGTCTTTTTTAACCATCCGGACACTGTACATCTTTTGATTAGAGTGTTTAGTCCATTTATATTCAGAGTAGTTATTGATATATATGTGTTTATTGCCATTTTATTACACCTTTTCTCATTGTTTCTGGAGATTTTCTTCGTTTTTGGTTTTTTTTTTAAATTCAGTTAGTCAACATATAGTACATCATTAGTTTCAGATGTAGAGTTCAGTAATTCATCAGTTGCATGTAACATACAGTGCTCATCACATCATGTGTCCTCAGTGCCTATCACCCTGGCAACCCTCAGTTTGTTTCTGTAGTTAAGAGTCTCTCATGGTTTGTCTCCCTCTCTGTATGAAGGTTCCCCTTTCTTCACATCCTCACCAACATCTGTCATTTCCTGACTTGTTCATTTTAGCCATTTTGGTTGGTGTGAGGTGGTATCTCATTGTGGTTTTGATTTGTATTTCCCTGATGCTGAGTAATGTGGAGCATTTTCTCATGTGTCTCTTGGCCATTTGTATGTCCTCTTGGGAAAAATCTGTGTTCACGTCTTCTGCCCATTTCTTGACTGGATTATTTGTGTGTGTGTGTGTGTGTGGTTTTTTTTTTTTTTTGGGGGGGGTGTTGAGTTTGAAAAGTTCTTGTAGATCTTAGATATTAGCACTTTATCTGATATGTCATTTGCAATTATCTTCTCCCATTCTGTAGGTTGTCTTTTAATTCTGTTGATTGTTCCCTTTGCTGTGCAGAAGGTTCTTATCTTGATGAAGCCCCAAAAGTTCATTTTTGGTATTTTATTCCCCTTGCCTTTGGAGATGTGTCTAGCAAGAAGTTGCTGCAGCCAAGGTCATAGAGGTCGTAGAGGTTGCTGCCTGTGTTCTTCTCTAGGATTTTGGTGGATTCCGGTCTCAAATTTAGGTCTTTTATCCATTTTGAGTTTATCTTTGTGTATGGTGTAAGAAAATGGTCCAGTTTCATTCTTCTACACGTGGCTGTCCAGTTTTCCCAACACCATTTGTTGAAGAGACTGTCCATTTCCCATTGGATATTCTTTTCTGCTTTGTCAAAAATCAACTGACCAGGAGCACCTGGGTGGCTCAGTCATTAAGTGTCTGCCTTCAGCTCAGGTCCTGATTCCAGGGTCCTGGGATCGAGCCCCGCTTCAGGCTCCTTGCTCAGCGGGAAGGCTACTTCTCCCTTTCCCACTCTCCCTGCTTGTGTTCCCTCTCTCACTATCTCTTTCTGTCAAATAAATAAATAAAATCTTTTTTAAAAAAATAAGCTGACCATATAGTTGAGGGTCCATTTCTGGGTACTCTTTCTCATCTTTGTCACTTTTGATCTTTGCACTCAGAGTCCTTTTAATATTTATTGCAGGGCTTGTTTCATGGTTATGAACTTCTTCAGTATTTGTTTGGGAAACTTTGTCTCCTCCTATTCTGAATTATAGCCTTGCTGGATAGATTATTCTTGGCTGTAGAATTTCCCCATTCAGGACTTTGTATATATTATGCTACTCCCTTCTGGCTTGCCGAGTTTCTTTTGAGAAATCTCCAGCGAGCCCTATGGGTTTTCCCTTGTAAGTTAAGGACTTTTGTTTTGCTGCTTTGAAGATTTTTTTTGTCACTGTATTTTGCAAATTTAAGTACAACATATCTTGGTGTTGGCCTGCTTTTTTGTTGATTTTGATGGGAGTTCTCTGGGCCTCCTGGATCTGGATGTCTGTTTCCTTCCTCAGGAAAGCTTTTAGTTATCATTTCTTTAAATAAATTTTCTACCCCTTTTTCTTCTAGGATCCGTGTAATATGAATGCTACTACACTTGGTTGACTGACTTCCCTAGCTTTGTTCTCAATCTGCATAACTTTTTTGTTTCTGGCTTTCTCAGCTTACTTTCCTTTATTCTGTTTTTCCCTGCTTCATCTAGCTTGCTGTTTATTCCATCAAGTGTATTTTTAATTTCATTTATTATGTTTATCATCTATGATTGGTTCTTTTTTCTTTCTTTGTTAAGGGTAACACCTTTGTTAAGTCCTCCACTCTCTTCTCAAGTTCAGTGAATGTCTTTATAATCCTTATTTTAAATTCTTTATCAGGCATATTACTTATCTCCATTTAGTGTAGGTCTCTTGTAGTTTTGTCCTGTTTTTTCATTTGTGACATACTCCTCTGTCTCTGTTTCTGTGTATTAGGAGAGTTGGCTGTGTCTCCTGCTCTTGAGGGTGATGGCCTTAGGAGGAGGTCCTGTAGTGCCCTGCAGTGCAGTGTCTCCTGTTGCCCAGGGCCAGGTGCTTCAGGGAGTGCCTCCTGCATGTGTTTCCGGTGTGCTGGTTGCTTTGTCCTTCACTCCCGTTGTCTGCAGAGGCTCTTTGTGTGTTGTGGGTAGTGTTTGGACCCAGCTCCAGTATGGCACATATTAACAAGGTGTGTGCTTGTCTGTTTGCCAAGTGAAACCTTTTGCTGCTGGCACCAAAGCCCTGCAAAATGTATGGTTTGGAAAGGTGGTGTTGGTGGGGTTTGTACCAGTCTTCTTAGGAAGGGGGACTCACAGCGGCTGGACTGAGGCAAGCATGACTGGGAAGGGAGGATCCACTGTGGAGCGGGTGGGTGGGACTTGGTGTAAGCAAATTAGGGAGTGAATGTCAGTACTGCTCTGGTTTATGGTGAGGGGCAGGGGAGAGAAATAGCACCTGCCAGCTCCTCTCTTCTGGAGGGATCTCCGCACCTCTCCTGTGCATTCTCTGGGATTCCCTCCTGTCTGCCCCCATGCAGTATCTCGCTGCTCTTAGTGGTGATGTGGCTTTAAGGGGCAGGGGCTGAGCTTCCTAATGCCCTGTTGGCTCTCCCGGAGCCAAGCCTGCTGATTTTTAAAATTCTAGGCTTTAAATCCCATTGGTTCTAAGAACTCACAAAATTTGGCCCCTTACTTTCAAATCCAGTGGTTATGGGGATCTGTCTTCCCCGGGCTCCCTGGCATGACAGTCTGCTTTTCTCCCTTCTCCATGCCCCTCCTGACCAGAGATGACTGGAGTATGTTTTTGCACCCAAGCCATGTGTCTTCCCTTTCTAACCTTCTTAAATGTGGTCTTTTCTCGAACTTTAGTTGTGGAGTTTGTTCTGCCAGTCTTCATGTCATTTTCTGGGTTATTTATGCTGCTGTGTTATCCATTTGTATCCCTGGGACAAGGGGAACATAGGGTCCTTCTACTCGACCATCTTCCCAGCTTCCCCCTCCATGAGACTTTTAAAAACAGCTTTAGTGTCATTGATATAGGTATTTTACACACACACGCTTGATGTTCATGATGTGTATTGTTTTTTTGTGTTTTTTTTTTTAAAGATTTTATTTATTTATTTGACAGAGAGATCACAAGCAGGCAGAGAGGCAGGCAGAGAGAGAGGAGGAAGCAGGCTCCCCTAGAGAGCAGAGAGCCCAATGCGGGGCTCGATCCCAGGACTCTGAGATCATGACCTGAGCCGAAGGCAGCGGCTTAACCCACTGAGCCACCCAGGCGCCCCCATGCTGTGTATTGTAATGTAGCCGTTATCTCATGGTTTCAAGCTCTATAAGCTTGTGAACTTTAGCTGTTTTATACAAAAATATATGGTCATGTTCAATTTTAGTCAAAAGAAAAAGTAAGAATCCAAAACAAAAAAGCCCCAAACCTTAAAGAATGGAGTTCTAATGGGGCAGTATGTGCTTTGCATGAGACAGTAAACGGTGCTGTCTCTCAGAGCCAGAATACGAGGGTTTCAAACTAAGGCAGTGCATAGATTTTCCTTACCATCACACCTAAACCGTCTGCACTTCTGAGAGCAGCTGCTGGGGCGAACATGGGTAATACTGCAACAAGGGGACACAGCTGTGGTCCCGCTGCACTGAGGAGGAGACTGTCACTTGGCCTTCTCAGGCCAATGGCTTGCTGACATCAGTGGGTGAAAGGAGTGCTCTGTCTGGAACCCAGGGAGCTCTCGGAGACACCTCTCAGTATGTCTGGCCCGTGGACAACAGGGTTTGAGCTGCACAGGTCCACTTTACGTGGACTTTTTATGAAGTGATACTGTAAATGTATTTTAAGATTTCTTAACATTTTCTTTTTTCTAGTTCACTTTATTCTAAGAATGCAGTATGTAATACATTTAACATACAAAATATGTGTTAATTGGCTTACTGGTAAGGCTTCTGGTTAAGAGTAGGTGATCAATAGTTTAGTTTTTGGTGCGTCAGGATATATGCAGATTTTCGGCTGCACAGGGGGTTGGCTCCCTTACCCCCAAGTACTAATGCCCAGTGGCAGAGTTAGGGAAAAACAAAAGCTTCCGGGAAAAGGGCATAACTGTGAAGATCCAGATCCTTTAGCAGATGCAGATCAGGATCACGGGGGAGGTGCTGGTGGGGATCAGAAGTTCACGGATGTGTAGCGTGTAGCAGGCATGTTGAGGGCTCCAGTCCTTGTCTCTTAGTTCCACCCTGTCCTTTACTTGGCACAGCTGTTCTGTTGTAGCAGGCTCTGTGCTAGCCCATAAAGGATGCTAGACAGAAGCCGCGAAAGGAAGCAGAGGAGGAGGGACGGACTGACTCCTTCCTGTCTTCCATTTCCCACAGCTTCATTCTGATGGCGCTTCTCCACGCTGGTAGGGGCGGTTCTTCCTGAGAGCAGCAGCCAAGCCCAGTCTGCGGCGTCCCCAGCCCGGGCAGAACCAGGTACACTGTCAGCCCCAACCACTGGCCCCTAGAACTTACTGCCAAGCCCAGAAATTCCACACTGGCCAGGTGGCAGCCCTTTTCCATACGACTGCTGTAGTCACTGAGTGGTGAACGCTCTCTTCCCTCGGCCCAGGGAAACTGCATTTTGTTACCCCCGATTCCATGGAATCCTAGTTCTCAGCCTGTGGTCCATGACCAGCAGTGTCACGTCCTCCTGGGAACATGCTAGAAATGCAGATATTCTCAGGCTCCACCCGGTCTATTGAGTCAGTAACTCCGATGCCCGATCAGGAATCTGCTCCCCAAGCCCTCCTAACGCACGCTGACGTCTGAGAACCACTGCCTTAGAGTCAGCTTGCTCTTCTGGTTGCCTCGTTAATGATTCTTTTCATTAAATTCTGTTTAAATAACTGGTGTAGGATACCCTCATACAGTAGCATTCTACCAGAATGTTTAAATATGCGTCAGTACCAATCTTTCTTATGCCCTTTGAGAAAAAAGAAAAGGGAACTTCTCCCATCTCATTCTGCATGGAGTGCATTACCTCAGATATCACTAGCAAACACGACTATCCCTAAGGACATAGATGTAAAAATCCTAAAACAACAAGAAAAATAATTAGTGCTTTGCATCCAGCATCCTATCAAAGTGGTTAAACAACATGACGAAGTGGGAAATTCATCTTAGTAATTAATGCGAGTGTGGATCAGCCTAAGATCAGTTCGTGTAAGAACCAGATTAGCAGAATGAAGAGTAAACCAGTCATCTGAGTGCAGAAAAAGCCTTTAACAGAATCTAACATGCTTTCCTAATTACAAAATAGAAAACAAAAAACAACACCCAACAGACCAGGAAGAGAGGGGGAATGTCCCACAACATGATGAAGGGAATCGATGAAAAACCTCCAGCTAGTATCATACTCGGGGGTGAAGAGCTGGAAGATTTCTCCCTGGAATCAGGAGTAAGACAAGTGTGCTTGCTTTAGCCACTGCTCAGCACTGTAAGTTTTAGCCAGAAAATTAGGCAAAAATAACTAAAAAACATCTAAATGGGAAAGGAAGAAACCTCTGTTTGGAGAGGATGTGATCTAAAACACACTAAAATAAAAAACCCTGATGAATCCACCCAAAAAAAGAACTACTGGTGCCAGGATACACGGTCAACACTATAATCAGTTGTATTTGCACACTGGCAGCGAACGGTCTGAATCACCAGAGAGCCCAGGAGCACGCCTCGAACAGCTGAGGGACTGTTCAGACGGCAGCGCTGCCCACCGCGGTCTGCAGGTTCAGCGCAACCCGTCAGAATGCCTCCCCCCGCCGGAAGTGGAAAAGCGGACTTTAAATTTCGTATGAAACAGACACTGAATAGCCAAAACAGTGTTTAAAGAACAAAGCTGGAGGACTCACACTTGCTGATCTCAGAGCTTACTACTGTGAACCTGGCTGCCGAAGCCATGTGGAGCCGGCAGAAGAACAGGCCGGTGGGACAGAATTCACCACACGCGCGCTTCATTGTTCATCAGAGTTTTGACAGCACTGCCGACACCTTCAGTGGGGAAAGGATCTCCAGCAAGTGGTGTTGAGATCACGGAGTAGTCAGTCATTCACATGAAAGAGACTGATACTGAAATCCTATCCCACGTCACGTATAAAAAGTAATTCAAGATGGGTCAAAGACAAAGCATAAAACTTAGGAAATGTGGGTGAATTTTCGTGACCTTGTATTTGGTAGAGAATTCTTAGATATGGCAATAAAATTGAAAAGAGAAGTTGGACTTCATCAAAACTAAAACTTTTTAAAAAGATTTTATTTATTTTAGAGAAGGAGACGGGAGGGGGAGAAAGAGAATCTCGAGCAGACACCTTCCCCCCCACCCCACCCCTGAGTGTGTAACGTGACATGGGGCTTAATTTCACAACCCTGAGAGGATGACCTGAGCCAAAACCAAGGTCCAGTGCTCAACTGACTGAGCCACCAAGACACCCCAAATTAAAACTTTTCGAGGACATCAAGTAAGAGAAAAGACAACCCACAGAAGGAGAGAAAATATTCACCAAGAGTCTAGTATCCAGAGTATATGAAGAACTCTTAGAACTCAACAACAGAACAACATCCCCAAAAAACAACATCCTTATTCAAAAATAGGTAATGGACTTGGATAGACATTTCTCCACAGAAAATATACATCTGGCCAACAACACATGAAAAGATGCTCAACGTAACTAGTCATCAGGGAAATGGAGATCCAAACCCCTATGAGGTACCACTTTAAAACAACCTGAATATCTGTAAATGACAAAACAGAGAACAAGTGCTGGTAAGGATATGGAGAAACTGAAGCCTCCTACATTACTGACGGGAACCTAAAATGTGCAGCTGCCATGAAAAAGACTTTGGTGGTTCCTGAAATGGTTAAACAGTTACCATATAAACCAGCAATTTCAGTCTGTCACATACCTAAGAACTGAAAGCACGTTCACATAAAACTTGGACAAGATCGTCATACTATCGTTATTCATAATAGCTGAAAAATGGAAACAAGCTAAGTATCCATTTATATTTGATTAATACAGTGAACAAAAGAAATGTGGTGCATACGTAAGACAGAACATTCATCATCCTGAAAGAGGAGTAGGATGTGACACACGCTTCAACGTGGACAGATCTTGAAAACAGGCTGTGTTTAAGAAGCTGGACACAAAAGGTCACACATAATTGTATTTCATTTATATGAAATGTCCCAAGCAAGCAAATCCATAGAGACAGAAAATGTATTACTGGTTGCCAGGTAATGGGGTAAGGAGAATTGGTAGTGATTGGTATTGGATATGGGGTTTCTTTTTTGGGATGAGGGGAATGTTTTGGAGATAGCCCTAACAGCTGTGCAACCTTGTGAATACATTAAAAACCACTGAACTGTAAATGTGGTTAAAATGACCAGGTTTTTATCCCAGCTTGACATTCGTAATACTGGCTTAAAGAAACTGTAATTTTGGTAAGCAGGAGTAAGGATGTCCTGAGAGCATTCTTTAAAAATTGTGGCAAAATACACATCACATAAAGTTGACCATTTTTTACAGTTCAGGGCCACTGAGTACATTCATAGCTTCATGCGACCATCCTCACCACGTCCATCTTGCAAAACTGAAACCTTCCCCATTCTGGCATCCATTGTTCTACTTTCTGTCTGAATTTGACTAAAGTGGAACCACACTGTATGTCCTTTTGTGACTGTCTTACTTCACTTAGCATGTCTTCAGTGCTCATCCGTGTTGTGGCGTGAGCCAGAATTTGCTTCCTTTTTTAGGCTGAGGATTTCATTGTATCCAAATGCCACATTTCCTTTATCTGTTCATTCAACAGCGAACATTCGGCTTGCTTCCACCTTTTGGCTATTGTGAATAATGCCAATAAATGGGTGTACAAATTTGTGTCCCTTTTTAAATTTTTTTTCCTTTTTAACAACTTTAAATTAAAAAGGTATGATTTGTTTTTGAAGGGAGTCTTCTAAAAATCAAAATTTTTTGAAAATATACCTTTTTTTTGCATTAGCTTAAAGATTAAGAATGTAGTTGATACCCACCCAAAAGAGAACCCAAATATCAATGATACTATTTCCTTTAAAGAAACATAAAAGACATAAAAGTATCCATTGCAAATTTATTATGCATTAGGAAGCTTAACTTAAAAACCAACAGCATAGTAAAAAGATAGGTTATCTCTGTTCATAGCAGAACAGGTTTCAAAATATATTTTCTTTTAAATGTATTCAGTCAGTACACAATCCTTTTATAAAAGTTGTATATATATTTTTCTTTCAACACCTTCATTACATTTATAAATACAAGATTTACACAGCACCCCATCAAAAGAAAATTTAAAACTCCTTACAAATATCTACATATTTATTTCATACCTATAAAACTTTCAGGGGAGTGCTCTGTTAAAGTGGGTGGGCCCTAGGTAATGGTCCATTTACTGGTGCAGCAAAATACATATAAATCTGTAAAGTTTTCTGTCCATAAAACATCTCGAAAAATTAGCAAGACACTTGTTAAACTGAGCTTCTTAAACCACCATATTTTAGAAAAGAATCTGATGTGCATATTCTCATGAAATTCAAAAGTCAGACAAACAGATGGAAATAAAGACCTGACTGCAAAACAGGCGCATACAACAGAGCAGTTAAGGCAGGAGTGAGATGAACGAGAAAACGGAGAAGACAAGATGCAGCAAGGAGCGAGACGGTTGTCATGTGTTCTGTGAGCCTGCACTTGGATATAAACTCCGCTGGTATCCACTCACTAATTCTCGTTCTCACGTAGGAATATTTCTCTTACTGAAAACTTTCTCAGAAACTCCCTTCACATTGTGTGTTGCCACCAGAATACTTGCTGTGTGTTCTTCTTCCGTAAAATCACCTTGGATCTGACCAAAACACCAGGTTTAGCGGTCTGAGTTGCTAGTTCTTCATAATTTAAATTTTTAAGAAAATCTCCCTTTACCTAATAAAGGTTATCACTGATCAGTATTAATGTCCGGAGGTGTCGATGCCGAATTTCATTCTAGCCAAGAATAGGAAGTAGAGAGAAGGAGAGTAAGACTCGAGTTTTTGTTGACCTTTGAACAAAGGCAATAGATCCCTGATACGGAATGACTCTTAGAGCGGCCACTCAGAAACACCCGCGGGCTGAGTGGGCACAGATCAGAGAAAGAAGGAAGGAAGGAAGGAAGAAAACAAGCAGGGACTTGTTAGCTCAGATCTTGCCGGAGACGGCAGTCCACCCCACCCTGCGCCTTCACTGAAAGGGAGACGGAGGAACTGCCATCGTTCTGCCTCCAGAGTTACTCAAGGAAAGCCATCCCACCAAGATACGAAATCTTTCTAATTTAGTTTCAAAGTGTGGATTCCAGATGACTTTGAAGATCGCAAAATTTGCAGGAAAGTACTTTAGATCTTGTTCTAATATACCACAAAAAGAAGAAAAGGAACAGAAGTGGGGGCGGGGGGCAGAGGGATGGAGAGGGTCACTTCTCAAACCTGTCCCTGAAGGACGCCACTAGCATCTCCCCTCCAGCACCATGAAGTCTCCGTGTGGCGTGGCTCCCGCGGCTCTCAGAGAAGGCGTCCACAGAATCCCCTTCTGCCAAGTTCACAGCTCAGTGCACTGATTCCCGGCCTCCTCGAAGGAAGAGAGCTCCCAGATGCTGCTGTCTTGCAGCAGTGGCTCGATGTCCTCGTCACTGCCCCGCCCGGGGGGGTTCGTCAGGCTGCCGCTGATGCTGCTGCTGTGTTTTTGGGTTCCACTGCCTTTGCGGTATTCAGGGATGAATAAGGCAACCAGGAAGGACATAAGAACTATACACGCCCCAAACAAAAACGGCGGGCCTGGGATGACCGCTCCCTGAGGGGCAGGGGAAACAGATAAAGCGTTTGGTTAGTCTTCAATCCAAAATTAGCCCTGGCCTCCCCCAAACCATCAAAAAGTAAATCATTTTCTCTTAAGCAAATGTTTTATTAAGGCTGAAGGCAAATTCTGAGAGAGCCTGTGTTTAGAACACGACAGAGGGCAACTAACCATTGTTCTCTGCGCCAGTTCTCAACAGCTTTTTTTTTTTTTTTTTTTTTTTTAAATTTTATTTATTTATTTGACAGAGAGATCACAAGCAGGCAGAGAGGCAGGCAGAGAGAGAGGAGGAAGCAGGCTCCCCTAGAGAGCAGAGAGCCCGATGCGGGGCTCGATCCCAGGACTCTGAGATCATGACCTGAGCCGAAGGCAGCGGCTTAACCCACTGAGCCACCCAGGCGCCCCTCTCAACAGCTTTTAAGTGGCAGCTGTGGGTCTCCAAATCCCACCCTAGGACCTCACAGCATGCGCGCTGTTCACGAACACTACGGACCGTTGTATACAGAAATGTCCACTGCAGGAATGACTGGGAAGTACACAGAACAGCGCTCTGGCTCAATTCCTGGCAGGGATTAGGTCATCCCGCATTTGACTTGGCCTCGCTGGCCTTCACCAGCAGACAGCATTCTGATCGGAGCACTTGTGTAGGTAAAAATGGACTCTGAACAACATTAAGACACAGCTTTGGGGGAAGATACTACATCACTGAACTGATCCTTCCTCGATCCCAGGAAGCACTGAGCGTAGCACATACAACAGAAACACTGTACGAACAAGAACATTCTCCAAATTTAAGTTCAGATTTTGCTACCATCAGACATAAAGGTTATAAAACTAGACTTATCACCAAATTACCTGTAGGGCAGCGTTGTCAGAACTCAGTTCCGGTTCCAACTCCGTCAGTTCCACGTGGAACATGTAGAATATGAAGCCGTACAGCGCCGGGCCCAGGCCGTTACACAGCCCTCTTATTCCAGTTATGATCCCCTGGGCAACGCCTGCGTCAGAACGAGGAGAAGGGAGCCAGTCTTCTCATAAGAGTATTTCACGATTAGGGACTTCGCCCATCATCGTTTCATTTGGTGCACAAATGTGTTACTGGTTTTACTATGTCCTTTAATGTCCTAACTCTCTGCCCTAAGATCTATATGGAGATGAAATGACTGTGATGTTTGTGAAATCTCTTTTGGGGCTGAATTTCCCCCATAACAGCTAGATCCTTCCTATAAATGAGGAATAATAAATAAAAAAAAAAAACTTTAATATTCTCCATTTATAGGCAACTTCCACTTTTCTGTGGAATGAGATTTTTCCTCCTTTACTCATCTAACAGTCCTTTTACAGCAAAAATCTGCCCTTCGTCTCCTGGAGCCCTGTGTGTGAGTCCACAGCAGTCCTGAAGTTGTGTACTCCCAGCACGTTCACACAGACTCTGCTGCTCATGGTGACCTGCACTGAAAAATCCCAGAAGTGCCAACTTCTAGATATCTCTGGTTTCTAATGTAGCAGATAAAATAGTAGCTAGAATCATGAAAATGGATGTTTCTGTAAGTCAAACTGTTCAAATATGATTCAACTTAATATGTTCCAGTAATGCTGTACACTGACATTTAGGAACCTCTGCATTAAAACATATACGCATAATAACAGCCAAAGAGAATTCATGTCATGAAAGACCAGATGGTGCCTGTCACACGTGACGGCGGTGCCCATCCTCCCCAGCGGGCTGGCTTCTTCTGACGTAACACGCCCCAAGGACACAGCCAAGGGAGTTCGCAAAGGGTGTCGCATAGATTCTATAGTCCTCAAGTGACACTTTAAACATGGGTACGAGTAAGATGGCTAATTTTTGATGTGGAAAAGTAGTGCAATGAATTAATCTGTCAATCTAGTTCTTTATTAAAACTTTTTAAAGGGCTCTAATGCATTTAAAAGGTTTTCCTTATAAAATTTACTACTTCCTGACTACTTAGGTGAACCATTAACAACAGATGGAGAAGGAAAGGATTAATTCTGGCAGCAGGAACTGCCTGATAGAAGCCAGAGGTTCTAGAAGGATGAAGAGTCCAGATGGTAGAGTGCTATTCTCCACATGGTTGTCTCCATTTTAATTGTGCTTCTCACTGTGCATTTAACAGTAAGTACACCTATTTACCCCCTCAAAAAATCATTTCCTAATTTAAGCTAATGAACTTTGATTTTGAATTTAAAGAAATGCTGGCGATTATGGTGCTTAAATAAAGAACTCCTTGCTTTGCTGCCCAGTCTGTCATTATTTGACGTCTTTAAAATGATCAGTTCATTCTGGTGGTCACACACACACACGAGGACTCAAAACTGACAGGAGAAAGTGGATAGTTCTTTCCGGGGGCGGGGACAGTTCTAGTTCTAATCCTTAGTATTCTTAACTGCTTGGTCCAGATTTTAAGGAATGTACGATCAAAGCAGGAGGGAAAACAGAAAGGTACGATTGCCGAGAAGGGACCACATGGCTGTCACCAGCTCTGTGACATGAAGAGAGGCTCGGAGCCTCTCTTACTTCAGGTATATCTTAGCTGAAGGAGGAAAACAGCACGAGTACAGTGACCTCACCTTGCTGATCGGACTCTGCATTCCGAGAGACGAGGGCGCTGACTGCTGGAAATGTGATGCTGGACATGGCGGCTACCGTCCCTGCCGCCCACATCATCCTGCAACGACAGGAGCGTCCGCGGTCAGGCGGCAGGGCCGGCCCTGAGGAGCTTACAGAGCACGATCCGGCAAAGTTTTCTCCTGTTGGGTTGTATTTATTTTTCCCTCTTTAAGAAAAAATGGATTTTTTTTTTTTAAACCCGGAATGTCCTACATCATACTGTTAGCAGCGATTACTTCACAGCTGGGAAGATGTCATTATTTCACGTTCCCTCCTTCGAAATCTGTTCTTCCCCCTTGTTTGCCCATTACCATCTTTGAATGTAGAAGTTCAGTGAAGTTCAGAAAGATTTGTTTCTATAAATACCACATCTTCCTCAGTGATATTCCACTTTTCTGTCTGTAATTCTCACCTTCACGCTGCCCTCGGGCTGCTGGTTTGCTACCCCTCAAGCAGGCGTCACGTGCCACCAACGGCAACAACAGAGACCTGAAGTTCAGGGTCACCATGAAAGGAACTGAAGTAGAAAGTATGAGTGTGAGCAAGGTGAGGTCCTAATGGGGCTGAAAACCTGTCTGGACAGATCTCTTGGGGAGGCTAATGTGCACATCCTTACTGAAGAGAAAAAACCCTGCAGGTCAACAAAATCTTTTAAACATAAAACAAGTCTGACCAAATCAGCTACTGAAGTACCAAAATTCACGTGACTGGAATCTTCAAGAACAAGAAGGATCAACCACTGAACCTCTGAGCGCATTTCTGCTCCTTTTACGTTACGTCATCAATTTATAGGAGTAAAGTGAGGATCAACTCTCGTACGTAAACCCAACAGAAAATCAGGTCTTCGGTAAGCAGGCACATACACTTCTTACTCCCGAGGGCTTATTCTGAACTTCCTGTCTGTGGGCATCTAATATGTGGGCAGTGGTAACCGCCTCAGGGCACACATGGTTTTGGAGGAGATCTTCGTGTTCGTCTAACTCAGATGTTCTAGGTTAGAAAGGTTATGTCACTACCCAGAGTCACTCAGTTAATTACAGCAGTGAACCCCACTATAACCAGTCATTTTTCCTTGTCTTCTTGTGGACTATGTGAGGTCACTAAAAATTGACAAATGTGTTTAAAAAGTACACATCCAATTAAATAAGAACTTCACTGCTGAGGCAAAGGCAATCTTAACAAATAATGTGAGATTACTTAGCTCCATCCTTCTGCAAATTAAGTCTAAACACCCTTTTTGAAATGTCGAGTACATCAACCGGCAAAATAATCCTTGCTTCCCTCCCATCACATTCAGCCAACTCGAGTTCCTCTAAAAGATGCTTCTATTAGTTTATGAGGATCCAAAGGAGAGGCTTACCAGGCCTGAGATCCAAAACCATACCAGGCTAACTGGAACATCTGGAAGCCCAAGCCCAGGAGGACAGTATTCTTATTCCCCAATGATCTCATCAAGATGGTAAGAAAGACAGTCTGTAAAAACAAAGGGGATAATCCTGAGAAGCTGTGAGTCACGGCTCTGATGCCAGCTTGACGGGGGGCCCATTCACCATGACCAGAGGGGCTGCTGCGGGTGCACAGCCTGGCCCGAGTGTGGGGAAGCCACGCAGTACTGACAGAGCTCGAGTTGAGCTGTGGGGGCTCCGAGCCTTCAGCCCCTCACCAAAGCCTGTTTATCTAATGCTTTGCTAGCACTTTCCAAAAGGTCATGATAGCTGTTCACCAATTATCCTGATTGAGAAGGACAGGACTTGGACTCCTTGGAGAAACGCCAGTCGCTTCACCACCAGGGAAGAGCGAACCCCGACTGGACGCATTACAGGATATGCGGGATTCTGCGGGAAGTTAACAGTGTCAGAAAGCTGGACTAAGGCAAATCTGACTTTAACAAATATATGCTCTACTAAAAACGACTAGCTCAGATTGTTTGTAAAGGCAGAGGATGAAAGAGGAGTCTGGATTAGCTCAATAGAGTTGCTATAAATGCAAACCAGAATCATAAGCAACTTGCAAGTTCAACGTAATTTACATTCACCGACAAAACAGGCTTTTTTTTTTTTTTGCCTTACTGCACTCCTTTGAGCCTTGTCAGCTCTAATGTTTGGGCAACACAGTTTCACAGCCTTCTGGTCTCTCCTTGAAGAGCGCACCGCTGGCCCCCACGCTATAGAGCCGCATGAAGTCATTTCAGGGAATGACCTCTAGGCGCTTCCATGTGATACTGTGAACACACCCAGGCATGTCAGTGAGTTCATTCAAAGGTCATATATCCTGCCTTTTGTGGTCTTTTTACTTAGAATAGTAGATGGGGAAATTTTAATGTTTACTCATTTCATATATTCTAATGCACTCATTTACCACATCTCTTCAGTCCTGGGGATAGCACAGTTTGGAAGAGTTACTGATTTCATTTTTGTTTTCCTGCTACTAAACTTTCTTCATTAACCAAAAAAGTGTTTCTATATTTTAAGCTTATTTTGCAGTATCTGGAGTTAGATGATTGGTGGTTGTAAAAGCAAGCTGTTACTTGCTGAATCGACTAGTAGAGGTGACAGGTATCCTAAAAACTAATGAAAAGTTGTATTAAATTCCTCCTAAATTACAATTTCAACATCCTATTAAAAATGATGGTTCTGGGGTGCCTGGGTGGCTCAGTCGGTTGAGCATCCTTTTTTTTTTTTTTAAAAAGATTTTTATTTATTTATTTGACAGAGAGAGGTCACAGGCAGAGAGGCAGGCAGAGAGAGGGGAGAAGGTTCCCTGCTGAGCAGAGAGCCCGACGTGGGGCTCGATCCCAGGACCCCAGGATCATGACCTGAGCCGAAGGCAGAGGCTTTAACCCACTGAGCCACCCAGGCACCCCAGAGCATCCTCCTCTTGATTTCAGCGCGGGTCATGATCTCGGGGATCATGAGATTGAGCCCTGTGTCAGGCTCTGTGCTGGATGGAGTCTGCTCCAGACTCTCTCTGCCTCTACACAACCCCCGCAACCCACCATGCCTCTCCAGAAAAAAAAAAAAGATGGTTCTGTAGACTGTATCAATGCCTGCTGACTGGCTCTGATGTTGTACCACAGATACAAGAGATGTTAGCATGGCAGGGGAGGAAGGGGTTATTGGCAGAGGGGTATAGGGGCTCCCCATGAACATTTCTTTGCAGTTTCCTGTAACTCCAGTTATTTCCAGATAAAAATGATAAAGAAAAAATGGCTGAAAAGACACTCACCTGAGCCACAATAGACAGAATGCCTACCATAGCTATGAATGCTGCAATCTTAACAGATCCAAAACCTATGACCTGTGGAAAAGGAAAGGAAACACTTTCGTAATACAGATACTATAAAAATAATAGGAGACAAATATATTATCATCAAACACTAGAGAGAACATGAAGAAAATGATCTGACTTTTGGTCCTCCCAATAGAGAATCTGCTCAGCAGCCAAGTCAGTGGCTCTCAACCTCGGCTGCCCATTTAAATCACGTGGGCAACAGAGAAGAGGAGGAGGGTAGGCAATGAAATACTGTAACCCATTTGAGACCAATTAAATCAGACCCTCTGGGCCCAGGCACAGGCATGTTTTAAAAAGCTTCCATGGTGATTCTAGAAGCAATTGAAGTGAGCTGGCAATAATTCCTAAGCCTCTTAACCTTAACAGAAGCTCTGACAGGCCTAAAACTTTAGGTTTTAAATACCGGGTTTTTAAAAAGTCAAATATTTTTGTCCTCTACTGAAATCCTGTAAAAATCAGGAAAAGGAATTAAAAATTATTGTATGCGTTCTATTATTTAATAAATGATTGTCTTGCTTCCAGTCACACAACTAGGTAATAAAAGAGCTAGAATCTCAGGTTCCCCGGTCAGTGCTGCCAACAAGCAAAGGCCTATTACTCACTAATTAAATGCAACTAAAAAAAAAAAAAAAAAAAAAAGGAACCTGAAAAGTAGTCTTATTTAGGGATTATTTCTCAGCCTGTATTTGTAAATCTAAGTATAAACATACATTTAAAGCAACTTTATCAAGACAGGACTTAAGTATCCTACAGTTCCCCCATTAGAAGTATACAATCCAGTGGCTTGAGAATGCTCAAGAGAGTTGGCCAGCCACCACCAGCGTCAACTGTAGAAGACGTCATCAGTCCTCCTGCCCCATCAGGAGTCCCATTCCCCCAGCCTGTCCCTCTGTCCAGCCAGTGATACACTTCCTGTCTCTGGGTTTGTTTTTTCTGAGCCTTTCATGTAAAAGAAAGCCACATATGGTCCTGGTATCTGATTCAGCACAGTATTTTCCCAGGGCGTCCACGCTGCTGCAGGTACAGCGCTTTACTGCCGCTCACTGCCGAACAGTAACGTCCCGCCATACAGATATGCCGCCATTTGTCAATACATTCCATCAACTATTTCTGCTTTTTGGCTATTATAAATATTTGTATAAAAGTTTCTTGGGGGCGCCTGGGTGGCTCAGTGGGTTAAAGCCGCTGCCTTCGGCTCAGGTCATGATCCCAGGTCCTGGGTTCAAGCCCCACATCGGGCTTTCTGCTCAGCAGGGAGCCTGCTTCCTCTTCTCTCTCTGCCTACTTGTGATTTCTCTCTGTCAAATAAATAAATAAAATCTTAAAAAAAAAAAAA